GACAGGGGATGGTTTGGACCTTAGAAACTCACAAGTGTCTCACACTTCTGGCACAAGCTGTGCAGGAGAAGCACGGCAGCAAGGGGAGATGATGGAGATATGCAGAAGTCCTGGTGAAAGACAGAGAAAGAAAACATCTCAGGAAAACTGAAAATGAGGACAAAGGTCTTGCTGCCAAATTATAGCTCATTTTACCCCCAAAGGGAACTCCCCCTTCCCACATTGGATGCTGAAGGCAGCAGCCAGAGCCCCCACCCCAGCCAGCCAGGGAAAATTGTGGTGGGGGGCTTTAGCAGAGTGACACCAGCCTTTGGTGCCCCCAGGCTGTTCACTTCCTCATGGGGAAAGCTTCCCATCCTCTGTTTACCCAGGAAGCACCAGACTTGGCTGTAGGCAGTAAGCAGAGTGCCTGGTTTTTATCTACACATCAAATTTACTTTCTTTTTTAAAGAGAAAATAGCCACTGAACAGCCCTTGAAGCTTGGGGCTAGTGTCTAATTCCACTTGAAGAGCTTTGTTAGATAATTGCAGTATTTTTCTGAGAGAAAATAGAACAATCAAGGCTTGTAATTAAAAGCCATTCAGGCAGCTTTGATCCTTCTCTCTGCATCTTCACTTACCAAACACAAATGCCAACAAGGACTCATGGCAATATTTACAGTCACTATTTTTGGCCTTTGCCTTTAAATTACCTCCTCTTCCTCGCTTCCAGTCAAAAGGAGGAGGAGGGAGGGAAATAGGGCTTGTGGTTTTTCAACAGGTGTTTCTTTAGAAAGATTCTTTTGAGGATGCCTATATCATGGAATCATAGAATCATTAAATTTAGAGAAGCTCAACGAGTCCAACTGTCAACTCAGCCACATCAGCACGTGCACCACTAAACCATGAAACACACACAGGTTTCTTGAACACTTCCAGGGATGGTGACTCCACCACTGTCCTGGAAGCCTTTTCCAAGGCTTGACCACCCTTTTGGTGAAAAAATATTTCCTAATATCTAATAGAACCTCCCTTGGCACAACCTGAGGCCGTTTCCTCTTATCCTGTCACTCCATGACGACAAGCCTGGAGCTCCTCTGGAGGCCTCAGAGCTGCCACAGAACAAGTTTATCACCCCAAAACTGCCTCCAGGCACAACCTCAGCTGCAGTGGTGGCGTGGATGGGGCAAGACCCACACACTCTGCCCTGGGCATGGACAGGGAGCTGCCAGGGCCATGTCCCACAGACCACAGAGGATCCTCAGGTGACCTCCTGACTCACTGTGAGAGGAAATCCAGCCTGGGGAGTTCCCTTCCCTTCAGCAGCAGGTGGGAATGTCAAACCTTGACGTGCTGAGACCCTCTGAAGGCACCAAACTGAGCTTGTTTCTCCCAGAATTGGCAGTAAAGCCAGAGGGTCACCATTTCCTTGGGTTCATGGTGGGACCATCAGTGGCTCACCAGCACCCAGAGGCTCCCAGCAGTCCCAAGGAAACAAAGTGAGTGCTACAGATGTCAGGTTGTACAGAGAAGAGACAAATTCTCTTTCTTGGCTTGATTTGAACACAATCTTCTGGATACCCTTCTGCTTCTCATCTTTTACAGTCAAAGTTTTTGCTTATCCATGTTTAATTTTTATTTTCATATTTTTCTCACATCAAGATGCTTCTGAGAGCCAGGCCTTCAACTCTCAGTGGGGCATTTTTTCTTTTCTCACTCAAAAATCATGACCAGCCTTAGGGAGGCAGTGTGAGACTCTCTAAGACGCAGGAGATTAGAGCTTCCCGGGAGAACAAGCTGCAGCACAGCTCGGATGAGGACAATTGATCCAAGCAGCTAATATTGCTGCAGCATGAAGACTTAAAAAGCAACAACTGCTTCCGATCCTCTGCCCTGGCTCCGATGCCTGCGTTGAAAGCCTGCAGTGGGAATATGAGCCCTAATTCCTGTTCCAGGGCAGGAAATGGCTGCCAGGGATGATGGAGCAGTCCTCCAGGGCTGTGTCCTCACGGGTGTGACAGAAGGAAGGCGATTCCTCCCTGCAGCAGGAACCTGCTGCTGCAGTGGGCAGGAGCAGCAGAAAGACTCCAGCTCCTGCTGTGTCCAGGGAGCTGCGTGGCTGCTCCGCACCTTGTCACCCATTAACACAGCACACACTGTGCCAGAAGGGAATCTCCCCGGCTTCGAGGCTGAGCTGACTTCCCTGCTCTTGGCTGGGAAGGGTTTAGGAGGAGGAGGGAGCCCTGAGGTTCCTAATTCAGCCTCCTGTGACACTGCAGAGCCCAGGGATGCTTGCTTTAGGAGGGGGTTTATGCAGTGAATAGCTAATGGGGTTTATTTCCCCGCTTCCAGTGTTCAGGATGCAGCTGGTGTGGGCTGCTCTGACAAGCCAGCCCCAGCAGTGGGAGGAAATTCAAAGGAAGGAGCTGGCGTGCAGGGTTTCCCTGGGGAGATCTGCTGCTGGGAGTGGGCAAGCGTCTCCTTGGAGGTGTTTTCTGCTCTCCCAGAAGAAGCCGAAGCAGCCTGGCTTCAGATGCTGTGATCCGAGGGTCTGCCCAGGCACGGGAAGGCCGAATTTGCTGCCTCCCGGCAGGAGCAGGGTGCCAGGCTGTGCGTGAGGCCGAAGATGCTGCGGGGGATGCGGCGATGCTGAGCTGAAGGCAGCGAGTGCCGCTTAGCGCCGCCGGGCTGAACCGCACCGGCACCGGGCTCCGCGGGAGCGCAGCCTCTCCTGGGCACGGCAGGAGACCTGGCCAGGGCAAATCCTTCTCCCCTGGGAGCCTGGAACCCACACGGGGGGAGGCAAGGCTCGTGTCAGGTGTTTGACATGGAGAAAATCGTGGATGCAGCAGGATGCTGCCATGGGGAGATGCTGAGATGGGGCTGCTGGTGCTCAGAAGGGGAAGGGTCAGGGGATACAAGAAATGTCTGGAAGTGCCTGTGGAGGATTCAGAGAGAGGGAACCAGACTCTCCTCAGTGATGTCCAGTGAGAGGACAGGAGACACGAACTGAAACATGGAAAATTCCATTAAATCAAAGGAAGGAAATTCAGTGCTAGGGTGGTGAAGTACAGGAACAGGTTGTCCACAGTAGCTCTGTGGCATCTCCATCCTTGGAGACATTCAAACCCAAGTGCTGGGAAATTTAACCCTGCGTGAGCCATGCTGTACTTCTGTGACTGTCATGTCTTGTGATTTAACAGAAAAAGCTCCAGCAATATCATTGTCATGGCTGAAGTGGGTAACTCAGCTGAAAAGGTCCTTTCCATCTAAAAACATGCAGTAGTTTTTATACTTAATAAAATATATTGCCTTTCCTAGAGCCCCAGTGTCAATGAACAGCGATGTTTCAGCTGATTGGGCAGCTTGTGTGAGAGGTGACATAATTTGAGTCAGTTTTCTCTCTCAGAGAGGTTTTTCCACCTGGGAAGCCCATTGCCAGCAGGTGGCAACCATGCTAAAGCAAAATTCCTGGAGAAGTTTTGCCTGGAAGAAGAATGTGTTCTCCTTCCTTGTTCTACCACAGTTAGCACCTTTAACATGGAGAAGGCAACAGAGCGATCTTGTATCCACACATCTGTTTTTAGTTTCCTATAAATGAAATTTCCATCCCGAGGTATCGAGGGTTGTCAGTTTTGGAGTTGGGATGCTCAGGACACTGAATTTTCCTGAGCAGTCTCACCCGGGGTCTCCACCTACACCCACTCATCGCTCCAAGAGCCCATTTCAGCTGAGAACTGCAGTCTCCTTTCCTTTTGTGTTAACTGTCCTGCACCTTCCTGGGGGAATTTGGACAGGTAACAGCAGAGCTTGGTACCTGGGGTTGGGGGAAAGCTTGAAAGAAATATTTTAGCTAAGACAGCCTTCCTAAAACCAGTAACATACAAACTTCACAGGGCTAAAGGGTGTGAGAATGAATTTTCCAAGCTTTTAATATGGAGTTTTTGATCTCCACACTCTCCCAGTCAAGTCCTGGTTTTGATCAAGTATTTTGACTATTTATCTGTGAAAGAAGAAATTTTATAACTGCAGTGCTCACTAGAGTTTTTCTTATGGCTTACAAAACACCTTAATTTTCTTGCAAACTTACCGTGTTTTATTTTATAATAGGCAAAATGCAATATATATAGCAAAGATATGGCACAAGTAGCATAAAATTTTCTCTTGTGAAAGAAGGACCAGTCACTTTTTTCCCCCATGAGGTTTATTTCATTACTCACTCTTAAATAAATATGTATTTGACACTTAACAGGAACAACTAGTTCAAAATGATTTCTAATACAAGTTCTCACAGTTATAGTGTTTGTATGATGTGCTGTTATGAACTATTTTTGAGACTCAAGTCTTCCTTTTGGTCTAAATTCAACAAGTCAGAAAAGAGGAAATTTGTGGTGGTGTGGAAAACGAACAACCTTCAAAATCAAAAGAAAGCCATAACACACAGGAACATACATGAACACTGAAAATAGTTTCTTTTCTCTTCCAAATACTCATCCTCTGTTTTACTGATGTTTCATTGAAAGTGCTCATTAGCTCTGCTCCATTAAACAATTCTCCCTAATAACTCAGTGATAAAGAACTGAGCTTTGCACTCGTCTGGAAATTGGTCTCCAGCCTGTCCATGCTGTACAGCAGATGGCAATAAAGGACCACTCTGTGGCAGAAGTACACCCCTGAAAAGGAAATGATCTGTCCTTAATAATTCAGAGGGTGAAATTAAAAATCAGGTTCTCAAAATTTGTGGTGGTGTGGAAAACGAACAACCTTCAAAATCAAAAGAAAGCCATAACACACAGGAACATACATGAACACTGAAAATAGTTTCTTTTCTCTTCCAAATACTCATCCTCTGTTTTACTGATGTTTCATTGAAAGTGCTCATTAGCTCTGCTCCATTAAACAATTCTCCCTAATAACTCAGTGATAAAGAACTGAGCTTTGCACTCGTCTGGAAATTGGTCTCCAGCCTGTCCATGCTGTACAGCAGATGGCAATAAAGGACCACTCTGTGGCAGAAGTACACCCCTGAAAAGGAAATGCTCTGTCCTTAATAATTCAGAGGAAATTAAAAATCAGGTTCTCAAAACACAACTCTGAGGAGTTGGTAGGAGCAAAGAGGGGAAATACAAGAGTTGCAAGTGGGCAGGACAAACCCTGTCACTGATGAGGGTTACAAACAGACCACACATTACATGTAAACGAAAGAAAGGACGCTGTGCATTCACTGGCCACTCCTCCAGTCGGCAAAGTTGCCCCTGAAAATCCCCAGAAGGGCAGGGACCTGCCAGCCCCAACCCCCTGTTCAAGAAGTTCTGCATTCCAGCAACTTCCGGAAACTTTTCCGAAAACTGTCATCCAGGAAAGCGTACAAGAAAGGATTCAAGCATGAATTGGCATAGCTTAGGCTGGTGATGAAGTAGGATATCCCAATGACCATGGAGGTCTGGGGTAAGTCAGTGGTCAAAGCCACAATGGTGGCCAGGTGGAAGGGGGTCCAACAGAAGAGGAACACAGCCAGGACTATGAAGACCATAATGGTGACTTTCTTCTTGGCTTTGTCCAGGGCTCTGGCATTGGAGTTCAAGTGCATGTTCCTCAGCTTGTAGAGCATCATGGTGTAGAGGATGCAGATGGTGGATACCGGAATGGCAAAGCCAAGGATGAGGGTGTAGATCCTGCTGGCTTTGAACCAGAACCTCTCAGGCTTGGGGAAATTGAGACCACAACTCTTGATCTCCAGGTCATCGGTGTAGACATTGGCAAAGATGATGAAAGGGAGGACTATGATGGTGACCAGGATCCAGATGCACAGGCTGACAATCCTGGCTGCTCTGTACGTGCGGTGGGGCATCCTCTTGGACCTGACTGTGGCCAGTACCACCAGGTACCTGTCTATGCTCATCACTGTCAGGAAATAAATGCTGGAGAAGATATTGTAATGGTCTATGGACAAGATGACCTTGCAGAGGATTTCTCCGAAGGGCCAGTAGCGGAGGAGGTGCTCTGCAATATTGATGGGCAAGACAAGGGTGAACAAGTCATCAGCGATAGCGAGGTTCAGGATGAACATGTTGGTCACAGTCTTCATCTTGGGGGCCTTGAGGATCACATAGATGACAGCAGTGTTGCCTGTGAGCCCCACAGCACAGATCACAGAGTAGATCACAGGCAGGACAACATAGAAATCAGCTGCCTGCTCTTGGAGAGTGAAGTTGAACCTCATGCTGTTTTCCGGGTAGCAGCTGTTGCCTGCGTTGCTGCAGGAGCTGTTCAGATCATCCCAAAAGGAGATGTTTCCCATGCCTATTGATCACAGACCACCCTCAGATACCACTGAAAGCCTCGCTAGCCCACAAGGAAGAGGTTTTTTGTTTGGTTGGGGTTTTTCCCCCTCCTGTGAGAAGCAGCTGTTACCTCATTTAGATGCAACGTATTTTCAAAGGTGAGTTGTGAGGCTTCATGGACCACCTAACCTACCTCTCCCCCCTGTTGGAGAAGTTAGATTTTGAAGTGATGAGGGGAGAAAAAAATGTTTGGAAGACATAAGGCTCCATGAACCAAGAAACCAAGAGAAGAATGACTTTCTAAATAAGTAAAGGAACTCTCCTTTCCGAGAGCATTCCGGTGAGCTTTGGCTTTTCTTTGCTGGGGGAGCTGAGTGGCTCCTGTTCAGCTGTCTGCAGTCAGAGTTCTTCTGGGGCTGGCAGGAACAAGGAGGCAGAAGGGGGAATTTCGTGCCTGGCTGGCTGTTCACAGCCCTTGGAGCACCGGAGGGATGGCTGCTGTTTCTCTGGCACAGCTCTCGCTTTCGGTGCCGGAGCAGAAGCGTTCCAGTGGTTAATTAGTGCCTGCCTTTGTGTCGGAGTTCAGGCTCTTCACGGACTGGGATTTCACAAACATGAAGAAGTTTCTGCTACTCCCCACTCCCAGGGTCCCCTAGCAAAAGAAGGAGGGGGAAAATTAGTTCAGGGAGTATTTCTGAAATTAACGGTTAAAGGGGATTACCCTGCAATCAAAGTACACCTTTCAGCAAGGGTGGGCTGTGAACTTACTCTGAAAACAATCCCCCGTACAAACAACTGGCAGCACCCCAAATTTGGCATAGACAGACAGAGAAACCTGTAAATCTCAGAAGCTCAGGGTTAATCAGAGATGAGGGAGAAAAGTACCCTTTTAAAAAGCAAATCCACTTTAGAGACACGGCAAGAATCATCCCACCTGTAGCAGTTACTACATCCATCACTATTGCCTATACTTCCAAGAATTCCTCCACAGGGAATGAACAAACAACCGACCCCTACCCGCTCTGTAAAGATCAAAGGTTTGGCAACCGGTCCCAGGCTCTGCAAAGAGAAGTGCCTCACTTCTCTTGCCTTTTGTTGTGGCACAGCAATGAAGTGAGTGGGACTGCCAGCGTTAGGGAGGGAGGGCTGAAGTGTCCCTTACCTGGGAAGCGGCTCTGCTGCCTCCTCCAGCACCTGCTGCTCGCACTGGTGAGCCTCTTCCCTCTAATCCGAGTTGGAGGAGGGTCTCTGGGTTGCTGACGTACCGGGATTTGCAATCAGATCAACACGATCCTTCTGTGTGTGCGCGTTGCGTGTCTGAGCAATTAGCACTTGCTCAGATCAGGGAAGGGGGGAAACAAGGGGTTTATCTCTGCAGGGTTATTAAAATAGTAAATACGGTGGATGTTTCCTTCAGGAATGAGGGAGATGCTGAGGGACACAGGCAGCACCCAGGACTGGCTGAGTGAGGGATGTGTGAAACTGTGGGAAGCAGGGGGTTAAACTGCTTCAATAGGGAACAGTGGCTGGTGTTAACAAAGGGTGTAGGAGGAGGGTGAGCAACCAACGTGCAAAATAAACAAATAGACGTACCTTGCAAGATCTGTGCTGTTTTTGGCTGCTCTGAGGGAGTTTGGGTGGGTTTCTCCAGCTGGGTCTCTGATCCAGCTTTGGAAATTCAGTGAAATCCTTGAGATGTGCATCAGGAGGTGCAGGAGTCCCGTGACACTTGTCAGAAATGCACCCGGGTTATAGAGCAACAATGTAAGATCACTTCACCAGCATGTCCCTAAAGACAAAAAAAAAAAAAAAAAGGAAAAGGAAATCAAGAGTCTTTTGATTCTCCTTTAGTCTTTTAAATGTTGCCTGACCTTTGTTTCCAGACAAGGCAAGGGAAAACACAGGAATCCATCACTGCCATGCCTGGCTGAGTGCATTTAACCAGGAGGGCCAGCTCACAGACCTGAGCCAGCAGCCAAGAACTGTGTTCGACTTTGCTCCTCTTCTTTGGATATTTTTATATTCTTCTGACAAGATTATTGTGTACCAGTAGCTGGGTGGGAGTAAAACATTTCATTGCACTTCTTAAGGCCATGGCTATAACTGATTTTTCAGCAGATGGGATTTTTTTTATGCCCAATGTACAACCCTTCCTGTACCTTGGCCAAAATCTAACCAGACACTGGGCTTAAGGAAAATGAAACAGGAATTATATTGTTCAATTATATTGCATAGGAATGATATGGATGATACTTCTTCAGCTGAAACACCCCTGGAGCTTTCCTCTTGCCTGTTTTGGGAAAGCTGGTGTGGTTTATAAGGAGTTGTAAATGAAGCAAGGCTTTGGTAGGTCTGCAGGGGGAATGCAGTTTCCAGGAACTGCTGTTGTCTTTTTTCAGAGAAAAACATACAGGAAGGCACAAAAAATCAGGAGAATGTGATGTTACATTTGCTGATCTGTAACTATTCCCTGGAACAAAAGGGGTTTAAAGTATTTTTCATCCACAATCCTTTGAGGCTTTCTGGTTTTCAGCATAAAGTATGTCTCTGGGATAGCTTAAAAGCTGTTCTTTCTCTTCCCTAACTATATTATCTTGGAATTGGCATCATGCTGCCATGGCCAGGGATGGTATACATGGGTGCTGTGTGTTTGAGGGACTGGGAGCTGAGGGGGCTGCAGGAACTGTGGTGCTGATGATGCTCCCTTGTGCTTTACCCTCTGCCTCGTGCCTTACTCCTCATTATCCACAGTGAACATGCTCTCCGTGCCTTGGTTAGGATGTGCTTGATTAATATAACCTGTCAGAGATGAGATGGAGACTAATTAAAGCTCATTGCCTGGTGTGGGTAGAGGGGCTTTTGCTTATATGCCCCAAACAAATTACTGGCACCTGCTTTTGGAGCTCCTTGCCTGGTTCTCCAATAAAACTTGTTTGCTTTGGGGAGAACAATTGCCAACAGATCTAAATTCATGTAGGAAATTGCTTTGCAGTAGGAACTGTTCTACCAACAGAGAAAATATTTCTTCTGTGTGTCTCTGGGCCCAACCAGGGCCAGAGGCTGTTCACAGGGGAAACAGATCCCTGTATATTGGTGTGATGGGGAGCAATTGGAGAGAATGTTTTACTCTTCCTGTCTTTTCTGGCCGGGCATCCCTTGATATAAACATTACAGTGGCATAAAGCCCTGGAAATCAAGCACTGGTTTGAAGATGCTGCTACAAAGGGCATGAGCTATGCTTTCCCTCAGAGCTGCTTGGACCTGCTTTTGTGCCAACAGCTCCATCATCAGCACAGTGCAGCAGGGACAAAGATTTTATTCCTGGCAAATCCCTGCCATGGAGATGGACTTTGCCTCTTGAAGCCCATGTGCACACTGTGCAGCTTGGGTCAGCTGTGCAAACAAAGAAAAGGCAGCGTTTTAGGGAGGGGGAAATCCCTGCCAGTGCTCAATCAGTGGTGCTTTATTGCCTTCCTAAAGCTGATGTGCTGCTGGCTCCAGACAAAGGCCATCCACCATTTTGGAGTTATAAAGAACCTGTTTTGTTGGGCTCCTGCTGCTGCCAAGGAGTCAAGTTCATCTCAAGGACACAGATATACAATCAATAATCTGTTTACCAAAACAAAATGTTCTCGGCTGGCTGTCTTGCAGTCACTGGTTATTAAGGTGATTTATTTGTATGAAGTGTTCAGGCTTTCAAAAGCATTGCAGGTTAATAATAGAATCAGGGAGTAGTTTGGGTTGGAAGGGACCTTTAAAGGTCATCTAGTCCAACCCCCCTGCAATGAGCAGGGACATCATCAACCTGATCAGATTGCTCAGAATGGAACCATCCCACCTGACCTCGAATGCTCCCAGGGATGGGCCATCTACCACCTCTCTGGGTAACCTGTGGTAGTGCCTCACCATCCTCACTGTAGAAAATCTTATTTCTTATATCTAATTTAAATTCAACCACCTTCTGTTTAAAGCCATTCCCCTTGTCCTACCACAACAGGACCTGCTGTCCTGAGAAATGTCCAGAACTGATTACTTCAAATGGGCTGAAATTGCTTCTGGCAAGATAAGTGTGCCTGGTCAGGCTATTTGTAGGGTAACATTCACCCACAAGCTGGGATGTCCTCCTGCTTCCCCCCAAAACCTTCCCAGGCTTAGGCAGGTGATGGTGCTCACCTTGGAGGACACCTCAGGGAACCAGGCAAGAGGTGCAGGTGCTGAGGGGTGACTGCAGGGCAAATGTCTCCATCAGTAAGCTGGTGAATTGTGGGCAAAGAAAGTGCTTTTGAATGGTGATAATTGTCATGGATCCAGGGGCTGGTGACACATCCTGCCCACCAGAAAGCTGCAGTGAAGGCAAAGGGGTACAGGAAGTGATTTAAGGAAAATGGGAGTAACGAGTCCATAAACAGCCTGTTTTTGTCAGGTAAAGCACATATCAATAACTGCCCCGTCTGTCTCTGCAGGGGAGCAATCGAAACAAACGCTGTGTTAGCAATTTCCTCAGACCAGCTGTGATGGGGAATAAAAGCTGTAGCACCAGGAGCTGCTGGGTGGCTGGCTGAAGCTGTTTGCTCCCTGCCAGCCAGGAAAGTGGCTGGGAGGCTCCTGCAATGGGTTAGTCCTCATTCCCAGAACTTCTTGGAGACCCTGGCTCTTCTACCACACCTTCCCCAGCCCCGTGGTGCTGGCTGGGGCCGCCCAGAGCCTCCACCAGCCGTGGAGGGCAAGGGGTATTGCAAAAGGCTGCCTGGCTCCCAGCAGGAGCTGTGCTGAGAGATGTGTTAATTAAGGGAGTTCTGGTAGATACTCGTGACAGTGGGAGCAAGGACACAGTTCCAGTCCTGCTGCAATTAATACATATCTGTGAGAATTTAGAGTGCAGAGGGAATGCTGCTTTAAACACCCTCATTTCCTCTCCCACTCCATGCTGGTCTGGCTTGAAGCAGCCTTGCTACAGAGAGAAATGAAAATCTGCTTCCATTCCAGGATGCTTTTATTTTCCAGCATTTTTTCCTGCTTTTCTCCAGGGCTGGAAGTGAGTGTGTGCTTTGGTTGGTTTGCTGCCCTGAGGCAGCTCAGTCTGTTGAAAGCAGAGCCCTTTGGAAGAGGGAGGTTTCTGGAAGTGGACTCTCCCCTTTTCTGGTGCTGGTCATCACCTTGGTGGCATGTGAGGGGCTCAGGGCAGTGGCCTGGGCCTTCCCTTGTGTCAGTGCTGGCACAAGGAATGGGCAAAAACTGTTCCATGGCTCTGACTGTGCCAGAGATGCTGCTGCCTCACTCTGGAAGCAGGAGAAGCTAATCTGCTGCATCAATCTGTGGGTCGATTGGTCCTCTGGACTTGGAGCTTTTCTGCTTCTCTATCTCAGAGTTCTTCCACCAGCCCATGTAAATTTTGTGTAATTTGCCTGTGGGACCTGTGATGAAAAAGTCCTGGATGTGATGGGAGCTGGTGCTGCAGTACTCTGGGGCACAGCTAATTGCTTCCTTTTGACCACAGATTTGTTAACAGGGGTCTGATTCCTGCTGGTTGCCTTTATCAGATGTGCACAGAGCGTGTGCAAGCACAGCTGAAGATTAAGACATAAGAAGGAAACCTAGTTTCAGAGGATGAGAGCAAAACCAAAATAAAAGGATGTTTTTTGGCCCAAAGTTA